ATATTCGAAACGTACGACGTGCCCTACCTCAATACCTTGGAAAGGAAAAGGGGAAAATGAAAAATGTGTCCTGTTGAAACGGAGAGATTGTTTTCGTAATATCTATATCTATCTCTATCTATCTATCTCGGCCTCAAGTCAAGTAGGACATATCAGCTGCTATAATTGCTCACAAGGAAATGTACTAGTATGACGGTACTCCCACGCGATGCAATCTGTACTCTCTAATACTTACCGAATATATAATGCCTTAGCACCTTTCCCTTCCTGTATTACTCCCACACTCCAACGAATGGAACTTCCCTGGAACACGGCGAACTTTCGGGCTAATCAAAGTGCATTAGCGGTCTCAAGAAAGAGCGATTAAACCTAAGACGGTTGAAGCTGTCCTTCGCCTTGCTCGAGAAGCCGAGTACGACGTCATTGTCGTACTGAATCACGGGAACGCTGTGTGTCAATGTAACTACGGCAACCGGCTGGCTTACTTATCATTTCATATCACTTTTTTGCTAGCTGTCCATATCTCATTAGCAATCGTCTTCCTAGCTTTGCCCTTCTTGTAGAGCAATTCCTTCGCTTGTTGTTACACTATTTGTTTACAGTTGTTTACCATAATTTTGTAAACATCGCGCGACCATACGTGTAGTTATTATCTGGAGTTTATGTGCCTTTACATACACTTTTCTTTCAGATGTTCTGCCTCAAGAGAAGAAGTCATCCAAAGAGCTCTGTGACCTCGTCGTCATCGGCCACAGTGTATCCCGGTGACACTGAACCATCCCGAGGTTTCGTCATTATGAATCAGTGTATCCCGGTGACACTGAACCATCCCGAGGTTTCGTCATTATGAATCAACCGCAACACCAAGCTAACTCTAGACCTCGTTCTCACAGCACCCAAGATCTCCCATGTCCAGTTTCGTTCTACCCCTACAATGTGTATGGTCAAGGACTGGAAAGCGATTGGGGTAAGGATGCAAGAATCAACATGTCTGTAGTGGCGCCGAACTGCAGTACTCCTGTAGTGGACCCGTCTATTCCATTACCACCTGGCGCCGTAGTGATCCAGGTGAGCTTTATATGCTTACCGTACTATTTTGTGCTCTAATATTCTACTTGTTTTGCTTAACCAGCTTGAGCAATCGAATCTGTTTTCATTTAGGTCATCCAGCCTTCAGCACCTCCGCTTTCGCCTCGGGATCAACCACAACTACTACCATCTATTTATCCGCATTTGACGCCCTCGGATCAAAACTATGCAAATCAACAAATGGCTTTGCAAAAATACTAGGTTGGTTCATTTAGTATGGTTCACTGGACTCCTTTTCGACATATTTTCTTGATACTTACTCCACACTCATATTTTGCTTTCATACAACGGCGAAATAAAATTGGGAGGGGGGGGGGGGAATTTTAGATGTAGACCGTTACGGGACGCCAGCGTCTTTATTACGCAATGAAAGACGTGTCAGCATGTGTATGAGACGAGATTGGAAGGAGCAAGGGAGCGTCCCTATGCCTCTCACCCCTCGCTGTCCTATTTTCCAATGGCCATAGCCCACCGACAGCTAGCTACGTGGACACGCCCTCTCCATTTTCATCTTTTGGCGTGTACCGCTTTTTCCGTCAAGCGAATTCGGTGCCATTCTAATAGGATTATGCGGTCCCTCAACGGGAGTAAGGATCGGGTTTGAGATAGGCTTCTCGAGTGACTCCGCCCGCAGCGATAAATGCCCTGTCTGCCGTCTTGCTCCCTCGCAGCTTTCTCCGGCCTCTCAGACACACGTCGATTCTTTCTCTCTTGCTTTGCACAAATAGGATCTCACTTGAGGCTTTTTTGACGTCCTTCATTTTTTCTTCGTGGGCAAGTCAACTAGCACATACGCTCCTGTTTCTCATTCCGCTCCTACTGTATTTATTGGCTCGTCGGGAAGTCTCTTGTCTACATTTGACTCTAATCGATACCACTCATATTATCTGACTGGAAAATTCAGAAGTTGACCTTTGTTCATTGCAACACGTAGGTCTCCTACCCACCTGATGTGACCATCATACATTACCCTTTTTATCTATCCCTGACATAGTCGACCGTTCGAAAGATTTGCTGGGAAGTCATGACTACCACAGTATTCGCTGCTGTGTTTTGACTCTTTTAAACGTAGCATAAATCTCCGTAATGCAGGCTTGTCCAACTACCTTGATACCGTCGTCTTGTCGCCACCGCAAGTGCCAAACATGAAAGCCAGCTTGGGAACGGAGCCCCCCACTGCGTTATCACACCGCGAGCACAAGTTTGAACACTGGCGGAAAATAAGTAGTGGATACCTACGTTCACGAGAGGTGTAAGAAAATAGCCTTAAAAACGTATAACCATTTGTTGCTTAGCTAAACCCTTACCAAGACGAGTGCTGTAGTTTTGTAGTTTTCTAGGGTTAGGTTCTGATGAATTTCCGCATACACGTGTAGTAATTGATGAATCGTTGATGAAGAGTGCTCAATAAATGTTATTTACTTTATTTGTCTGTTTATTCAGTGAATTTAGTAAAACGTTCAGCAACTTGACTGAGACAATCGTAGCTAGATTAAAGTACAATATTTATACATACGAACTTCCTAGACTAGTTGAGAATGCAGCAGTCCACTGCAAGGTGTTTGCCGATGACATGAAAATTTATAGGTCCGTTTCAGATGCGAGTGATTCGAACATCATCCAAAATGCTATTGATGTAGTCAGCGCGTGGTCCAAGCGGTGGGGACTTCCAATTGCGCGTGAGAAAACATCTGTCTTACATCTCGTTCCTGGCCAGAGCTCCTATACCTATCACGATGCCGAACTGAGTAGGAAAGCACAAGAGGTAAAGGATTTGGGGTTTATTGTTGATGATAAGCTGACCTTTAAACGGCATTGCACAATCATAGCGAATAAAGCAGAGCGGCGGACCTATCAACTTTTAAAGAGTCTCTTAACGAAGGATCCTTGTGTACTTCTTCAAGCATACAAAACTTATATTCGCCCTGTTCTGGAGTACGGCACTACCATTTTCTTCCCTAACTTTAAAAATGACGTCAGAAAACTGGAAACAGTCCAAAATAGTTTTCACGAGGAAAATTTTGATTCGCGCTCTTGGTTTCAATTATAATGCAATTCCTTAGGGGAATAGTTAGAAACAAGATGCTGGGCCTAAGACTCACTCTCGTACAGACGTAAGATGTTCGATCTCATTACAGTTTACAAGATATTCACAGGAAAGCTAAGCGAAGATTTTTTTACCCTCCGCAACTCAATTACCAGGGGAGAGAAGATAACGCTAGTAGTTCCGACAGTCCAAAAACAAGGGTGAGGACTAAATTTTTCGCAATAAGGGCAGCCACTCAGTTTTCCAAATTGATGAAATCATCCACGCTACCGAAAAATGTTGCTCAGTTCAAAAATCTCTTGCACCATCATTTCAAGTGAGGCTTTTTTCTTTACTTATTTCTCTTAGTATCGGCATCGGAGGCCACTAAGCTAACTTTCAGTTTTGTACTATGCTCGCTATGTTGTATTGTTTTTTTACTGTTTTTTTGTTGTTGTATCTCAAGTGTTGTGGTGGCCATTTCGAGGCCTATGTCACTAGCACGTTTTACACTAGGAACGCATTGTTCATTTCTCATGTGTTGACCCACATGCAATAAATCGTAAATCGTAAAGTATAGTTTGCTGCGGATGAAGGGGCTCGCCAAGCAGTATGAGTGTGCCACGGCGCTATACCCGTGCTTTGCCAATTGCTGAAGCCTGCTATGCGACAACAATTATATGAAAACTGGTGATGTGAACGGTGTGATACAGTTTTGTTATGATAACTGCTGTTTAACGCCGCAGTACGCGTTCCGAATGTTATCACAAGAATGCTGAGTTGTGGGCAAAAGTCGTGCCCCAGGCGGGAGTCGAACCCGCACCTCACGCTTTCCGGGCGAGTGCGCTATCCGTTACGCCACCAGGGCCGCTTTTACCCTCTCAGCTTAACGGCTTTTATGCCGAACCTTACAGGCTCACACGTTTAACTTGGTGATGCGGCCAACCGTAATCGGCATGGATCCGCAAGGCTTAAGGCTTTACAAGTTTTTGAAGCTGTTTTGTTACAATAATTGCTATTTAACGCCGCAACGTACGCGTTCTTATCGAATGTTATTACAAGAATGCTGCTAAACAGCAGTTATCATAACAAAACAGCTTCAAAAACTTGTAAAGCCTTCGGCCTTGCGGTTCCATGCCGATATCTAACGATTACGGCTGACCGGCTCACCAAGTTAAACGTGCGTGAGTGCTGTAACGTGACGGCATAAGCCATTACGCTGAGAGAAGTGTAAAAGCGGCCCTGTTGGTTGTAACGGAGGGCACGACTTTTGCCCACAACTCAGCATTCTTGTGATGTGATACAGTCTTGTCTCTTGTCCGCTTCAACAACCGGTGGAGAACAGGTTTGCACGGCGCCAAACTCATCCCACCTGACACCCCCTTCGTCGGCAGTGAACTAGACTATAACTTCTGCAATCGGCTTTTCTTCAAAATTACAATTGCCCTCGAATGATGACCAGCTCAGACGCTAATGGGTGGACAGTTTGGATCCGGACTAGTGGAGAGCTTGTTGGAGTGCGCAAGTGACGATCCGAGATTTATCTCCTAGGCCGCGCGTTTACCAGCGCCACTTGTCACCTCACCATCTCTGCTGTCTGTTTTCTTGCCTGTTTCCTCACGGAGGCCAACTACCTTTTCAAAATGATTCCTGTTGGAAATGGCGAACATGCCATGGAATATACTAGAGAGCTAATGTTCTCGAATTGCATTACTGTATCTGATTTCCAGCGTTGCAAATAGTTGAAGGGGGTAGAAATAAGTTTATTAGAGTACTGGAGTATCGGAATATGGAACAAGACATAGTGAAACAGACTGCAACCTGACGTTAACAAGCGAATAGCTCGAGAATTTGAAAAAAAATCGACAGGTGAAAAAACGATAATTTACATATCGTGTCTTCTTATGCCCTTCTGCAGACCGATCATATTGCCGATGATGTCATATAGCCTTTCCCATGCTTGTGATATCTCTGGAGTTATTTGTCTATCCATACAAATGTTCAAAACCTCCAATAGTGCAGGCACCATATGCTGTAAATAGCCACTTAGATGTTGAGAGGCCTATTAAATCACGGTCAAGCGTACAAGTTTTGAACTAGTTTTGTTGTGATAGCTGCTGTTTGTAAACTAACCACCACGGGCCCTCTTACTTGCCATGTGCGAGGTGAATGTGCCCGCAGATGCAAATGCGTCTGCCACTGTCTTCGCTCAGAAGTGCTGAGGGCTGGGCTACCGGGTAGTGCCGGGCCGTGCAGCGGCGAGCCGAGGTCACCGACTCGACCAGTCAGATGCCTGACTATGGCCAAACGCGCTACCTCACTGTGTGCTGTCACTTCTGGTTGTTGTCTACCTCTTACTGCGTATCGCCGCGGGGTTGTGGTGTAGACGCGAGTGCTGCAATAAGGGCTCACCATCCACTGTGTGAAGCTTAACGAGGGGTCGTATCTAGCCGCTGCAGAAAGAGGGGTCATATTTCACAGGAATTTTTTCTGATCGCTATTTCCCCTATTATTTTTTGTGCGCGCTGTAGAGTCCCTTCAGTTGCCTCTACTACGCCATGCAAAACTGTATTAATGTCCATTGGAGGTATCCACCCCTTGCTTGATGCTAATGAGAAAAATTGAGAAGGTAGGAGGTGGTATAGGAAAGGAATTCGCAGCTTGGGAGGAAATGGAGGAAATTAGGGGGGGTCGTATTTTACAAACAGCTTCCGTGATGATGTGCCTGCAGAGGATAGCGCTTGGCATATCATCACGGAAAGCCGGAGTTGGAAGACAGCACTTGGCACCACCACCTCCACCCCGTTCCCGTGCACTTTTGAAAAGAGAAAGTGGCACGCTAGTACAAGTGCGGGCCCATTCGCCTCGCATATGGCAACGAACGCCTCCGAGGTACAGTTTGTCCTTAACGCCACAGTTAGCGCTCCGAAAGCTACCACGAAAATGTTGAGTTATGGGCGAAATACCTCAGACGGGACTCCAGTTCTCA